AGAGAGAGAGAGAGAGAGAGAGAGAGAGAGAGAGAGAGAGAGAGAGAGAGAGAGAGAGAGAGAGATGGAGAGAAAACTGTCATGAGGAAGGAAGGCAGAAGGCAGGCACTGTGGTTTCCAAAGCTTCTGGCAGTGACACGTTTCACAAAAGGTGCATGGACAGATGATCCATGTGTCCGTTTCACAAAAGGTGCATGGACATATGGACATATAAAAAATAAAAAAATAAAAACGTTTAAGAACTTATAAGAAGTTATAAAAACCGTTAAAAAATGTGGCAGAATAGTAGCCTTTCGGATATAAGGACCATATTAAGCACAGATAGTAAAGTACCAAGCAGAGAGCACAATGCACCAAGATTCCATCCAAATAAGAGCAATACAATGAACTCAAATGTCAATGCCGACGCTCTCTGGCCGCACCAACATAGTATCCAATGTCGCTCCTACTGACTGGCGCCCAGCACCCAGCGTACTCTACTCAGCCTATCTACAGCTATCTACATTCATGCCACTGGATCACTCCGAAGTTGAAGACCAATGTACATGACGTCATCACCAATGCAGACCGCCAGCGTACACCAGGTACGTTCTCTCTCCTCCCCTCATCACACCTTGATCCCCTCTGTATGCGCCTTCTAACCGAAGACCACCATCGCCATCACCTGCCTGCGCCCCAGCAGCCCGGCTATGGCCGCCATGCGCCCACTGCCTCAGCAGCGCCCCTCTCACCTCAGCGCCCATGCGCGCGTACGGCCCGCAGCGCTAATGCAGCTGCTCGTGTGCGAGTGCAGCAGCGTGGCCGCATTGCCCACCAAGGCCAGGATGCCTGCGCCTGGACAGGGCACTTTCCTTTATGGAAAGTGTGGCCCCTGTCTTCGGCTGCGTGGGCCTGGCTGGACGAGTTTCCAGTAGCTTCCAGGCGGGCCCCAGTGTCTGCGCCCAGGCCCACTTTTGCTGTTACGGGCCTGGGTCCTTTACAGTTGGGCACATCCAGGCAGCCGTCCAGGCTCCAAGTGTTTGCCGCATTCTCATTGGCTCGTCAGGGTTGTGTGACGACAATCCTGCTGTCCCATTGGTCCGCGGCCACTGCGTGATGTGTCGGCCTCCCACTGTGTGTGCCCAGGGCGCAACCAATCAGGGCCCTGGGCTCAACTGTGCAGTGCAGCTGTTGCTTCTGAGAGGAGCCAGGAAAGGCTCATGTTGCTTTGTAACCAACTGGCGTGCTGCAACTGTCTGATACCCCACATATGGAAAAATGTCAAAGAGAGGCCTCAGCCCGTCTTCACTTAGGGCGGGCTCGAGGCTTGCTGGGGGCCGCAGCCCAGTACACTTGTATGTTTGATAAGGGTCCCGCGAGGGCTCATTCCTCGCACATTCTAGAAGCACACGGCTATACCATGGGAAGTTAGTGGATTGATTGTAATTTGTAAGCAAGTTTCCCGGAAGTGGATATACAATACAATGGTAAATTACTAAATTGGTAATAAAATTAAATAAATACTAATAATGTTGCAATCAGACTCGTTTTCAAACACACTTTTCACACATGTAAACAGTAACGCAGCACACTGGCGACATGCGCCCACTCAAAACTCAGAGATATGGCTTCAGATACGAGTTCACTCTCAAATGGCTATGGCGACTTCAGCGCCCAAACATCTCACTGTTCACATACACTGGATCACCCTGGATATCCCACACGCATCACTCTAACACTCGAGCACACACACACACTCACTACTAACTACAGCTATGGCAGCTGTGGCTGCCTCTAACCTATCGCTATGCTAACTCCTCCTCTCTTGCCCATTGCGTCCTCCGGGCTCATCTGCAGACCTCCTTGCACAAGTTGCTGTGGCAGCGCTTCCGCATGGCTCACGCAGGAATSAATGAATGGCTGGGCGCTGCCTCTTGATTTATACTTCAGAAACTCGTTGGACTCACCGCTATCCTACCGCCGTTGCACTGCTGTTGCACTGCGGTTTAGTCCACCACTTGCCTCACCACTTGCCCACTTGCCCACTTGCCTA